GAGGAATGTTCTAAACAGGAGGTCTTCGACCAACCTGCCCACCCCAAGGGATGTTCTAAACAAGTGACCACCCAGCCCGAGGGCCTTAGTCAAATCACACCACATACATCCTGTCATCCAAATTATACCAACATTCCAAGCATTAGAAAATGTGCAATAAAGCGAGTAAGATCAGAAGAATCACTGAACTTCATTGAATTTTGAGCAAACTTTGCAATTTACATCTTTGTTCGAATTTTCCAGCTTTCTTAAAAAAAAGAGCAAAAAAATTTCACACATAATATTTTTTCAAATTAGCTATGTTCCATGACCTGGCAAGTGATCGGCCTTCAGCATCCTTCAGCGAGTATGCTCCTCCTGCGTGCACTCGCTCGACCAGGTATGGCCCTTCCCAGTTCGGCTCCAGCTTTCCCACATATTTGAGCACATCGACGCGTTTCCAAACCAGGTCGCCTACTTGGAGTCTGCAAATTTTCACCTTTTTGTCATGAGCGGCTCGCATCCTCTGCTTGTACGCCTCCACCCTGATTGCAGCTCTTCTGCGCAGCTCCTCAATAGTATCCAGGGCTGCCATCATTAGATCCTCATTCTGCTTCGTATTATATGTGCTCGACCTCTGGGATGATAGCTTGACCTCGACCGGCAGCAACGCTTCCATTCCATAAGCTAAACTGAAAGGAGTTTCTCCTGTTGTCGACCTCGGGGTTGTGCGATACGCCCAAAGTACCAAGCTCAACTCATCAACCCATGCTCCTGAGGCCTTTTCCAGCTTTGTTTTCAACCCATTCAGTATAATTAGGTTGGTTACCTAGACCTGGTCATTGGCTTGCAGATGAGCAACGAAGGCAAAGTGTTGCTCGATTTTCATGTCTTCACACCATGCTCGAATCCGCTTGCAATTAAACTGAGTACCATTGTCGGAAATCAACACTTTGGGCACGCCAAACCGGCAGCAGATGTTGTTGTATAGAAATTTAATTACTTTCTCCTCCGTAATCTTCGCCAAGGGTTCGGCCTCCACCCACTTTGTGAAATAATCAACCGCCACTATCAAGAACTTCCTCTGCCCCGTTCCCTGAGGCATCGGCCCCACCAGGTCAATACCCCACTAGGCGAATGGTAAAGGGGCACCCATCGTCGTCATTACTTCTGCCGGTTGATGAATAAGGGGGCCGTGCTTTTGGCATTGTAAGCATTTCTTCACCATTACCTTCGCATCATCCCTCATCGTCGGCTAGAAATATTCTGCCCTCAAAATCTTTGCAACCAAGGCCCCTGACTGACTATGATCACTGCAGCATCCCTCGTGCATCTCTCTCAGTACATATCGATTTTCCTCCTTAGTAACACAACGCAGATGCGGTCCCGCGTACGACTGTTTGTAAAGAATGCCTCCATGTTCAAAAAATCTCCTCATCGTCTTTATCGTTCCCCCTTTCAGCTCCTCTAAGATCGGGGCCCTCCAATCCTCCACCTCCTCAATCTCCGCCACTTCCGCTTCGACCACACTCTTTTCGAGATGCAATAAGGTGACACTTCTGCTCTTACAATCCTCTAAGCTTTGAGCAATTTTCGATAACAGGTCCGCTCGACCATTTTCTCCTCGAGGGATTTGTATCAGCTCGAATGAATCAAACTACTCTTTCAACTTCCTCATCTCATCAACATACTTTTGCATCCGGTCCTCCTTAACTTCAAACCCCTCCAGAAATTGCCCGACCACCAGTTGAGAATCAGAATGCACTTGTAATTTTTGGGCTCCTCCCGCTTTGGCTAAACTCAAGCCTTTGATCACTGCCTCATACTCGGCCTCATTGTTGGATATCTTGAACCCCACTTTAGCCGCAAATTCCAAGTAATTGCCCTTAGGAGAGACAAGGACAATTCTCAATCCTGCCCTGCTTCGTGCCACGGATCCGTCCACAAACAACTGCCATATTCCTCCTGACTCCTACCCAACTTTCGTGCCTTCCTAGATAAAATCGGCCAACACCTGCGTCTTGATGTCCCTCCTTGGCTAGTACAACAAAGAATATTCACTCAACTCGACCGCCCATTTTACCAATCGACCAGAGACAGATGGTCGGCCAAGTTTTTCTTCCAGCGGCATGTTTGTTCGCACCTTCACCTTATGGTTCAAGAAATAAGGTCTCAACTTTCGAGCAGTTACTACCACAGCCAAAGCAAACTTCTCGATCTCCGAGTACCTCATCTCTGCCCCCTGCATCACCCTACTCACGTAATAGATAGGAAATTGTGCTACCCCTTCCTCCCGTACTAACACCGAACTCACAGCCCTCTCTCCAATAGAAATGTATAGCACCAACTCCTCGCCCTGTACGGGTTTAGCCAATAAGGGAAGATTGGCCAACACCCCTTGCAACTCCTCAAATGCCCCCTGCGCCTCCTCCGTCCATTGAAATTTTGAGCTCTTCTTTAGTGTTTTGAATAATGGGCCACTTTTCTCCGCCACCTTCAATATGAAACGACTCTGCCCCGCAATTCGACCAGCTAAGATCTGCACTTCCTTAATGTTCGTCAGCGGCTTCATCTCCATTACGGCTCAGACCTTCTCAGGATTCACTTCAATACCTCTCTTGGTCACCAAGTAACCCAAGAATTTTCCCGACCGCACCCCGAAAGAGCACTTAGCTGGATTCAATTTCATCCCATACCTCCGCAATTTTGAGAATGTTTCTTTCAAGTCTCGCACATGATCCAACTCCTTGCTCTTCACCAACATATCATCCACATACACCTCCATGTTCCTTCCCAGTTGCTCCTTAAAGATTTTATCGACCAACCTTTGATATGTGGCGCACGCATTCTTTAGGCCGAATGGCATGACCACGTAACAATAGGTTCCTCGACTCGTTACAAAACTCACCCGCTTCCTGTCCTCTCTCGCCAAGGGAATTTAGTGATGTCCCTGGGAGGCATCCATCAGGCTTAGCAATTCGCACCCTGCCATTGAGTCGACCAGCTGGTCGATTCTGGGTAGTGGGTATAAGTCCTTCGGGCATGCTTTGTTCAGATCACGGAAATCAATGCACATCCTCTATTTTCCCTCTGCCTTCGACACCATCACTGTATTCGACAACCATTCGGGGAACTGGATCTCCTTGATATGCCCTGCTCCTAATAGCTTCTCAACCTCATACTCGATGATTTTGTCCATCTCTGCCCCATGGTGCCTTCTTTTCCGCTTCACCGGCCTCACACTGAGGTCGATGTTCAGCCGATGCTTGATCACCTCCGCACTTATCCCCGTCAACTCCTTTGCTGTAAGGAGAAAATGTTAGCGAACTCTCTAACTAGATCGATCAGCCTTGACCGAATAGGCTCCTCCAGGTCCTTCCCGATTCTGAACTTCCTCTCCTCACACCCCTCGATCATCTGAATCTCCTCCACTTCTCCCCCTGGCTGGATATCCATCTTCTCCTTACCCTTCTCCATTCTCTGTTATCCTCTTTCGACCTCGACCCACCTGGTCGATTAACCTCCTCTTCCTTCGACTTGGTCTGCCTCTTTGCCAGTTGCTTGTTATTGCTCACCGTTGTTTGATAGCAACTCCTTGAAGTGAGTTGATCCCCAGCAATCTCCCCTACGTTTTCGCCCATAGGATACTTGATCGTCATATGGTACGTGGATACGACCGCCTGGAACACATTCAAGCTCGTCCGCCCCATAATGATATTATAAGATGATTTAGCTTCTATGACCACAAACCTCACCATGCGTACCTTCATCATCTCTTCCGCTCCCAACGCCACTGGCAAACTTATCTCGCCCATCGGCACCACCTCTCCTCCATTGAAGTCATAAAGTGCCGTTGTTACCGGCTTCAGCTCCATATTCAACTCCGTGTTAATTTGCACAAAACAGTCGTATAACATCACGTCTACCGAACTACCGGTATCAATAAACACCCTCTTCACGTCAAAGCCTGCAACCTCCGCGGTTATCACCAAAGCATCGTTGTGCGGTAGGACCACTCCCTCGGCATCCTCCGCCTTGAAACTAATCACCGGCATACGAGCCGTAATCCCCACCTTCTCTCTTTTCCTCTTCGCCGCTCGAGCATGCTCTTTCCTGGCCCTATTCGAGTCCCCATCCGTTGGCCCTCCGAAAATCATGTAAATCGTTCTTCTCTTCATCGGGGCCTCTCCTCCTGGCCCCCTTTATCTCCATCTCTTCTCGAATTTTTTCCTCGACCACCTCGGCTCTCTCCGTCGTCTCCTTCTTCATCCCTATCACTCCTTTGCTCCGAATCATCTCGACACCTTCTCCTTCCTTTCCCTCTCGCCCTATCATGATACACAAACTCTTTCAAATGTCCTGCTCGAATCAACCTTTCAATCTCATCCTTCAAATGCCTGCAATTATACGTGGTATAGCCGTAATCTCGGTGAAATCGACAATATATATCCGATCTGGGTCGAGTCGGGCCCGTGAACCTTGTCTTCGGCCACGTCACATCCTCGGTCGACATCTTCTGCTCCATAGCCTCGAGCACCTCTGTCAAATCTTTCCTCAAGGGTGTAAAATTATGGTACCTCTATCTTTCAAACAACAATGGCCTTCCCTGCCACCTATCGTCCCTCTTCTCTCGCTTCGAATCCCGACCTTCCCTCCTTGGTGACGTCTTTTTCGACCCACTTCTCTTGGGCGAACTCCTCCTCGGCGACCTCCCTCTTGGTGGGGTTTGCTCCTTCTTTTGCTCTGGTCGAGCCGGCCCCTCCAACTTTGCGAACTCTACCTCCATTTCCTCCAAATTAATATACTTTCTGCAACGCTTCAAGACTTCCTCATACGATCGAGCAGGGGTCTTAGCCAGGGATGTTCGGTAAGGCCCTGCTCGAAGACTTCTTATCAATCCTCCCACCTTCACCTCATCTGAAGCCGAATGCACCTCCAAACACATCTGGTTATATCGAGCGACATACTTCCTCAACGACTCCTTCTCCCCCTGCCTCATTGCCATCAACGTCAAATACGTTTTCTCATGCGCCACCGCGCTCGAATATTGATTGGTAAGCTTGCTGGCAAAATCCTCAAAATCCGCAATCGACCCAGAGGGCAATTGGTGAAACCAGTCAAGGGCTCCTCCACGCAAGGTCGATAAGAACGCCCTGCAACAAATAGAATCAGAATATCCATGTAACACAGCCATATTTTCAAAGGTCCTCACATGCCTCGACGGGTCAGAAGACCCGTCATACACCAAGTTGGTCTCCTTGAAATTATTCGGCAAAGGAGCAGCGAGAATCTCCCTCGAAAAGGGATGTCCTCGAGCTCTCCTCTCTGGCCTCCCTTCCACCTTATCCTGTAACTGGTGCAATTGCTCCACCATCCTCTCCATCGCCCGATCTCTTCCAACTTCTCCCTCTCCATAACTGGAGACATCCTCATCTTGGTTTCCACACCGTGGTCGGCGCAGTGGTGGCATGAGATGTGTGGCTCATAACTTGTTGCACCGCCTGCGCAGCCGCGACCGCCGCTATCTTCTGCATCTCCTCCCGAGTCATCGTCACCATTTGCTGACCGGGGGCTTGTACAACTTCCTGTGGTGGCGCTCCTCCTTGCGCTATCGCTCCTCTTTGCACCAGTGTTGGATTTGGTGGCGGTGGCAGTGGCATCGTCGCCGTGGCTACTGCGTGAGCCTCCTGGGCCCGACTAGAGCTAGCATCTCCTCTGGGAATCGTCGTCGTCACTCCCACACCTTGAAGGATAGGTGTGGGAGGGATTGGTGTCTACGATGGGCCAGAAAAACCCGGAAGAGGGCCTTGCCCCAACGGCTTGGTCATCGTCCAAGCTTCGTCGAACGTTGACTGCAAGTTTTTGGAAATTCCGTCCGCCATAGCTGAGCTTCAAACACAAGTTTTTAACGAAGTCCCCACAGACGGCGCCAATAATGCAAGTGTGAGCGTCCTGGTTCGGTTTGGAACGGATCGATCTTTGTCCTCGCCGGTAGAACACTAGAAACTTGCAAGTAACTCTCACACTGGGGGTTGTGTTCGGTGAAGAGCCTCCGATGCTTAAGTCAGTATGTGTATGAGTATACTGAAGTGAAGAATGAATGGAATGTGTCAAGGGAGAAAGGTTCACCCCCTTTATATAGGGGTGAGATACCTGCCCTAATAGCTGCCCGGATAAGATTAGCTGGCTACCCAAGCTGCCCGTCTGTACTCTGACACACCGTGTGTATGTCAGAGGTTGTGCGGGGGCGTTGGGAGCTGTCAGAGGTGGTTATCGATATCCACCAATGTATTCTCGACACGTGTCCCCCTGCACATGGGGTAAATATTCTCCTGAGATTCGGTTAGAGGTTCCCACACGCGTTTGTGACTAGGCCGACTGTTAGGTCCTCGAAGCAATCGACCTGATGAGGTCGAATAGGTTGCTCGATCGCTTATCTGGTCGAGCGATGGATTTGGTCAACTATTTGCCTGGTCGATTATCTAAATGATCGATCCTCCCGCCTTTTGGCTTGGCTTCCTCTTGGTTTGATATTCTCGACCGGCTGGGCAGACCGGTTTAGCCTTGTGTATATAATATCCCATATTACACTACAGTCTTTGTCCAAGAGGGGTCTCACTGCCTGTCTAGACTGTGAACGAATAGTTTAGTCTTACAAGGAATCGATAGGTGATCTTTCTGTTCGAAACACTTCGAACCACACTATCACAATGTAAGACAAGGAATATGATTGCATAAATAAATAAACTGCAAGCATATGTACTTTCACCGAAACATGATGGCCAGATCAAATAGAATTGATAGAATCTGCAAAATCAAGCTTTTACAACATACCTCTAACAATCTACCACTTATGCTTAATAAGGTCATAGCTATTGCTAACCACGATTCTCTTTCAATCTCAATTCTCAAAGAACTGTTGTCCTTTCTGCCATACATCCGATTCCCAATCCTTTAACATGGCCAGTATCCGCTTTCCCCGAATAGCCAACCCAAAAAGGATTCACCTGGTTGTCTACCGATGTAACTAGGCAACAAACATCCACCCTGTCGCAGTTCTTTGCAACGGAGGTACTTGCTCTATGTGCCACTTGCTTTATGAACTAGTGATTCCTCTCTGTCTGTAACAGCACCAACTATCATCACAAACAAATAGTGACCTGACTTGGCCAAACGAGGTTTCACATTTTTAGTTCAATGGCGAATCCAATCTCTACGTCGCTCGCAATTTGGGAAGGGACGTACAGAGTTCATAGAGGAATCCGTCAACGTATTACCGCTTCACATTCCTCTAATCTGCTTGGTTCCCACAAGTGAACACAAACCATAAGGGGGTTTTTACTTGTTGTTCATGTCTGATTAGAAATCAGAATCTTTTGTAATCCATAAGTTGCTTATGGTTTGTGTGGTAACCCTACATATTATCCTTGGCCCTTTTATGGCGCTCGATCACATGTTCTACCATGAACCATTGCTTCCATAAAGGATTACTTCGATATTAACTGAATATACAATAAATATCAGGCCTCATCTATTGCATATACTAGGCTTCCTATTGCCATGCATAAGGACTGACTCTATATCATGCAAAAATAGAATGAGCCTTATGATAGTCTGGACATGAAAATTGGGACCATCGCAACATATCTTTCTTGTGATCCTCAATCTCAAGAATATCTGTTGATTCTGAATCTTCATATCCAATTACTTGGATAACCACACCCTTGCATTCATTAACATTTTCACACTGTCTCTAGTGATCAAGATGTTGTATACGTATAGTACAAAAATACCACCACGCTTCCATTGCGCGACACACAATGCTCATTTGGTGAATAATCAAATCCATGATTTGAATTTACTCGCCAAATGATTGGCCCACCACGGTTTATAAACAAACTCTGTCAGCCTACTGACTTGATGCTCTTTAGCCCTTTTCCAATGAACACTTCTGGGTGTTGTTCCGTGGATATTCGTACAAGACTCCCGATTAAGGAAAATGTCTTCACATCCACTTTGCCTAACTCATAACTTATATGAATGGCATCAGCTTTGAATAACGACTACCGGTGAAATAATTAACTCATAATAGATCCCATTCTTTCTGAGTTCACCATTTCACAACAAGTCTTTCTTTGTACAGACTTAAACACGGCTACTGGTGAAAAGCTAACTCATAATAGATCCAATTCTTTCTGAGTCTGCTATTTCACAACAAGCCAAGTACTAAAGTCTTGACTTATAGATTTCGTCCAATAGCATGTATGCTACTTGGTAATTCTATAAGAACCCAGATCTGATTAGAGTCCATGACCCTAAATCAGAAATCATTACAACTTTGTTAAGTTTCTGCATTCTTTTCTTGGATCTCTTCATTGTATAACTCGAGATCGATTCAAGTTTACTTGAGACTAAGTCCGAGAGTTTCTCAAAACATGAATTCCATGAACTTGTGATTAATACAGACTGAGTCCAACGACTCTCTTATTATCACAAATGGAGTTGCCTTGCAACCCTCCCACTACAACGAGGTTCCCTCTACAAAGGTGTATAGCACAAAGTACGTGTTGCAACACCCCGCTAGCTTATTAAAATCAGAGTCAAATTTTCGTAAATTCTTTTCTAAAAATACGTATTAGTTTGCAAAATCAGGAATCGGGATGCTACTGAAAAACATTTCTTTCCTGAAAAACCCGTTATCTTTTTCGAGTTAAATTATTACATGCCAGTTTGATTAAATACAATCTGTCTCGAGAACTTCGAACGGGCCGATGAAACGAGGATGTAATTTCCCTCTCTTCCCGAATCGAATGATCCCTTGGAATGGTCGAACTCTCAGAAAGGCTCGTTCTCCGACCTCGAACTGAATATCTCGTCTATGCTTGTCGGCCGATGATTTCTGCCGACTCTGAGCTGTCTTAAGCCTCTGTCTGATAAACTCAACATGTTCAACTGTTTTCTCGATCATCTTCGGGCCGAGTACCTGACGTTCGCCAACATCATCCCAATAAAGGGGTGAACGGCATTTACGGACGTAAAGTGCTTCGTAAGGAGCCATCTGGATCGACGCCTGATAACTGTTGTTATAGGCGAACTCGACTAACGGCAAAATCGACTCCCACTTGGCACCTCTGTCTAGGACCAAAGCTCGGAGCATATCCTCGAGCATCTGGATGGTCTTCTCTGATTGACCGTCTGTTTTTTGATGGTAAGCCGAACTGAACTGTAACTGCATGCCCATAGCCTCGTGTAAACTCTCCCAGAACCTGCTGGTAAATCTGGGATCTCGGACTGACACAATATGAACGGGCACTCCGTGGAGTCGAACGATCCCACGGGTATAAATCTCGGCCAACTTCTCCATCGACATGGTCATCGTCACAGGTAAGAAATGTGCGACTTTCGTCAACCTGTCCACTACTACCCAAATTGCATCGTGATGTTAGGACGACTTGGGTAGTCCCGTAACGAAATCCATCGTGACTTCTTCCCACTTCCACTTTGGAATCTCAGGTGGTTGCAGAAGGCCGAACGGACTCTTGTGCTCGGCCTTAACTTGCTGGCAGACCAAACACTTCTTCACAAAATTGGCTACGTCTTTCTTCATTCCCCGCCACCAAAACGACTTCTTCAAGTCGTGGTACATCTTCGTGCTGCCGGGGTGAGCTAAATAGGCCGCGGTGTGTGCCTCTGTCAAGATCTCTCTTCTGCAAAGCCTCGACTTTCGACACTACAATCCTGCCTCTGAACTCCAAGCCTCCATCTGTGCCTCGGGAAAAACCCTCTACTTCTTCGGCGTGAACTTTGGCCTCGATAGCACAAGCAAACTGATCAGAAGCCTGCTTACGCCAGATTCTATCTCTCAAAGTGGGCTGGATCTGCATCGAGTTGACACTCCGCGAGATTTTCGCAGGAAGTGACTCGACGACCTGAATCTGCATCCAGGCAAAGTCTCGAACAAGATGGCTCTACTGAGTAATAGAACAAGTCAACTCACCCTTTACCTTTCGGCTCAGGTCATCAGCTACAACGTTTGCCTTTCCCGGATGATACTGAATCGTGCAGTCGTAATCCTTAACATGCTCCAACCAACGTCGCTGACGCATGTTGAGCTCTTTCTGCGTGAAAATGTACTGCAGACTCTTGTGTTCGCTATAAATCTCGCACCGACCGCCATATAGATAATGTCGCCATATCTTAAGTGCATGTACCACTGCAGCTAACTCAAAGTCGTGCGTAGGATAATTCTGCTCATGGGACTTCAACTGACGTGAAGCGTATGCTACAACCTGGCCATCCTGCATAAGTACACAGCCCAACCCCTGTCTCG